AACACACCACTTACCTAAACTAACACAGACTGAAGTGAAAAATTTGAACAGGCCCATCACAAAAGAAGAAATTGAACAGGTCATCAAAAAAGTTGGAATTAGAAATAGCATTGGACCAGCCATTCCATTACTAGGTATATATCCTAAAGAAGCGAGAGCTGTGACAAGAACAGACACATGCATACTTGTTTTCATCGCAGCACTATTTACAATTGCAAAAAGATGGAAACAACCTAGGTGCCCATCAACTGAGGAATGGATAACCAAACTATGGTACATTCACACAATGGAATACTATGCAACCTTAAAGAACAACGTAGAATCTGCAAAACACCTCCTAACCTGGATGGACTTGGAGGACATTGTGCTGAGTGAAGTAAGTGAATCGCAGGACAAATACTGTATCAGTCCGTTATTGTAAAAAGTGAAGGAAAGGTTTATCTATGGAAGGAAATTTTCTATGTTGGTTACGGGGGTGGGGGGAGGGAGGAAACACTGCTAGATAGGTAGAGATAAGTATTGATTTGGGTGAAGGGAAGGGCAATGGACCAAATGTGAATGACCAACATGGTCGCATTGAGGAAGAGGAAGACATAGAGAGGTACATGGGAGGTACAGACAACAAAGATGAACCCTTTTGCACATACAGTACTGTATTGTTGTGAAGGCAAACTCAGGTATACAGGTGGATAGATGGGTGGACAGGCTGAACTATTAGGTATGTCTATGCAGCGGGGAGTGTACCCAAGACCATGTATAGGGTTGGCAGACAATGGTTCAACAAGTGTATTTGTATGTTCTATTAGAATTCCCAGGTGTATAGTAGAGCTGACAAAGGACAAGGTTGTAGTCACTTCTTGGTCACAGCCAGCTACCCAGAGGGAGCGAGTAGTTGAACCTGTGGGCTTGGGACCATAGTTGCAGGAGACATCAAGCTCAATTGGCATAACATACTACACAAAACATTGTTCCACCTCCCACTTTGGTGAGTAGCGACTGGGATCTTAAAAGTTTGGAAGAGCCATCTAGATGCAGTGATGGGTTGCTTCTAGTCCAGTGCAAAGAAGAATGAAATAAACCAAAGATTTATGGAAACAATTAGTCCTAGTGACTGGTACATCATGCAATCCACAGTGCAAAAAGGGCAAAGAGGCCGCATGTTCTGACATCCTCTAATCCCACAAGGGGAAGGCAGAGTCACCATCAATACCACAAGGCCTATTACTACAAGGCCAGACATGCTGCCTCCCTCCAGCCCTTTCACCAACCGTTCCTCCCAAAGCACCCACCACCTCTCTCCTGGGTTCGATAATTCCCTGCAGTGGCCACACAGAGCTCACAGATTATGAGGTTTATTAGGGAAGCACCACAGGCTACGATTCAAGTTCAGGAAAAAATGCTCAGCCTCTCTCCCAGCCCACCATCCCTCAGCCAACAGTCTCTCACAGTCTCTTTCCCAGCAGTGCTGGTCCCTCGGTGACTCACTTAGTGATGTGTGTCTCTTGTGCCTCTTTCCCAGCAGCATGTGTCTCAGGAGCCCGTGTCTCTTTCAGCAGCAGGTCTTCCTCAACCAGCAGTCAGAGAGAGAGTTCTGCCTCTAGGAGGCCTCCTTTTGAGCCCCGCAGGCTGGTCAAACTAGCCAATCACAGCATCAGAACTATAAGCACTTGAGAGAGAGTGGGCACCTCCCAAAACATTGTTTTGTGCCACTCCCAACAGATATACTCCAGGTGGACAACTTCAGCAATTAGGAGCTCCTCAGTTGCTCATAGAAAATCCCACCTTGGAGTTTACAAAGACTTATGGGTAGAAAAGCCACACTAAGTAATTTACTACACCACACACAGCCTATATGCCTATGAGACCAGAAGAACTAGATGGTGCCTGGCTATCACTGTTAGCCACTTGGAGGGGGATCTATGTAAGACTTCCTGGATAGAGAGGGAGAACAATGTGGAACAAAACTGAAAATCATTTGGGGAAAAAAAAAAAGGAGAGGGGACCAGGTTTGTTGGTTTGATAGAGTCTGGTGGAATCACTGAGATTATGGCCTGTATCTTGCCCTTCAGGTCTGGAATTGAACCAACACCTGTGGCTTCCAGCAAACAAAAGACAGGCATATGATTTGAACATTTACCTGAGGTAGATACACTACTTGGAGACAACAATCATGGGAGAAAGAATGGTTGTTTATGCACAGGGAGACAGCATAGGAGTGCATGGAGGGTGGACACAGGGAAGAGAAAGGAAGTGGGAAGGGAGCTGTTGCATTGGGGTAAATTGTAGTCAATGTCATGAGACAAAGTGTATATGAATCGCTGTATGGAAAGTGAATTTGCTCTGTATACTTTCACCCAAATCACAATTAAAAAAAAAAATTCAAAACAAACAATAAAGAAATGCAAACTCCCAATTACAGGAAGAAGTGACTAGCACCAATGAGCACATATAACCAGGTAGAAGGAGGGTCCAACAGTGGTTCCAAAATGAAATTAATCAAAATGTTGACCCTATAGAGTCAACTCCAGTCCCCTGGGAGCTCTTCCTAATTACAATGAGATCCTAATAAGGAATGTAAAATTTCCTGATAATGTTAATAGGCCGGGTATGTATGTGTATATATATATATATTTAATGACATGATATTAAAATAAAACATTAACACAAAATACAGCCCTCTAAAATATTTTGGGGAAAGACCATATGACAAAAGTTGTAGGCTGCTGGGTATCTCAGAAACTTGTACCCCTGTTTTGGGAAGGAATGAGCTCCCTTTACAGTATTTTAAAAACCCATTCATACAGCTTGATCACTCATTTCATCGATGAATTTTGTCTAACATCTCTTATGCTAAACTAATATCTTCTAATTATCATAGAGATTACAGTGGATTAAGTGCCTGTTGACACCTTTAACATTTTTGAAGCCCTCTTGTGCGAAAACCATGTAGTTAGAAAGTCTGTCTAGTAGATATAATCAAAGACGATCTGACCACAATGACACAGGCACAAACAGGACTTCTGAACAAATACATAATAGGAATTATACTAAATTTAAACAAAGGGGAACTATGGAAGGTAATGTGAGAAGTGGAAATATACAAGAGTTCCTGAAGGTAATTTCTGTTACTTTGTGAGTTCTGAGAGCTTTTCCAACACTTTGACAGGCATAAATCACATGTCTAACCACAAATCCTTTATTCGCAGCATATTCCGCGATTGCAGGTACTACAATTCCCTGCTTTCCGAGCCGGCAGGAAGTTGTAGTTCACTTAACAGCGCCTAGGAACTAAGTTTTACACATTTGTTACCTAGGACTGGATGGTAAAGGTCTATTTGTCATCCGGGTTCTTCCCATTGTCGGAAGTGGCTCAGTTTCCCGGCCTTAATTTTAGTGGGTATTTGGGCTGTCAGCCGCTGGGCGGCCGGTCAGCGAGGCGCTCTAGGCCTAGGATTTTTCGTCTCTATGACCATAGGGGGCGGTCCCCCGCGTCTTGCGCCAGGCATGCAAAGGGGGCGCGCGTCAGTTCCGCGCGGGGCTGTCTGGCAACCATGGCTTCCCCAAGAGGTGAGGCTGATGGGCACCGGGAGGGGAGAATGGGCACGGCTACAGTTCAGAGCCCATGGGGGGGCGTTGGCGGACGAGCATCAGCGCTTGTCAGCACCTGTCGGGCCGCTGAACGACCTGTGCGCCCAGGTGGCTCCGGGGCAAGGCTAGGGCGTCGGATTTCAGGTTTCTCTTGAGCCGCTCCGTGGCTTGAGTATACTCAGCCGCCTGTCAGGGCAGCGCGCGGCAACCAGCCTCCTACTGCAGCTGCCCTCCCGGTGACAGACTTCGTGCTGTCTGGTTCGGCGGTCCGAGACCGTGCCTGGCTCGAAGAGCTGGTTGTGGGTGGGGACTGAATTCAGACAGGCCCAGGCTGCGGTGGAGCAGAGAGGTACCCGGGCGCAGGTCTGGAGCTGGTCCTGCATGAGGCAGGACAGTTCTATGCCCGGGCCGGCGTCGCCGTGACTGCAGTCTCTTCTGCAGCTTCTGTTCTACTGATGCTTAGAGACTTAAAGGCATGCTCAAGCTAGGACCTGAACTTAACCCCGGTGACTCAACTTTCACCTAAACGATAGGTTTATAAGGTGAACTGTAATACCAGGAGTGTATGCACTCATTAGAACAACCAAGCATCTGAGCTCAAGAGGACAGCATTTGCCCAGGGATAGTTAGGAAGGCTGGAGGGGATGGGAAGGAAGGAGAAGGGAAGGGAGGAGGTGGGAAGAATGCTGTTACAGTGTGAACATTTTGTGGCATACAGTGAATACCATAAAACAGAATGTGTATAGATTGTTCAATGGAAAACCAGTTTGCTCTGTAAACTTTCAGCCAAATCACAATTAAAAAAAATAAAATTAATGAAAAACTATGCTCCAGGTGCTGAGCCCAAGCGGAGGCTGGTTTAGTAGCAGCCACTAAAAACATCATTGGAGGATTAAAACAGCACTGACACCATAATGAGATGGAGAAAGCCAACCTTAACAGAATTCCTCCCAAAAGTAATGCTTGTGGTTAGAAGGAGCATTGGTATTTTGGGTAGGAGGTGAGATCCATCCTTCTTCCACAAATATTGACACGTTTGGGTAATAATATCTAGTGACTAATTGCCATTTAAGGAGGAGTAGTCTGATTCGTCTGAAACACTTTTGTTTTGCTAACTAGGGTATGTAAATTGGGACCAGAACTGAAGGAGTTGGGCGATACTCTGATTCTTTCTCTACCCTTCCCCCATAGGAGACTTGCTTTCACCTCTTAATAAATGTTGAACAAATATTTGAAGACTATCCTGTTACATGGTTGTGGAATTATTTTCCTGCTTGGGGAGTCCACATTTATTCAGGCCTTGCCCATGGGTGTTGTCTGTAGTTGCATATGCTTCGTTTATGTATTCTCCCATTTAAGGTAACTAATCTTCAGAGTCTTTTTTGTGGCAGTACAGGAAGTAAAGGGATTAAAAGTAGTATTTTGAAAACTAAGATAAAATAAGGACAGGAAGATAATGAGAATCAAAAACCTGAAGATTACAGAAGTCAAATCATTATTTGAAATAATTGCCACAATTTACAGATCTAGGCTTAATGCCAGTAAATATTTGTGTTACAAGTCTTGTATCTCCACTAGAAAAGAATAATAGAAAATTGTAGTTTCAGTAGTTTGGTATTCACAAAAGATTTATCTGAGGCTCCTGAATTTCTGAGTTCTCAGGTCTTAAAAATAATGTCACCCATAAAATATAGTAAAATATAACTGAAAAGTAAGTTCATACCTCAAATGCACCTATAAATATAGAACAAGGGTGATTTAATAAGCTATTAATTTATTTTTGCACACTTATTAAAAGATGTAAATAACAGAACAGATTTGATCAATTCACAGAAACTTCCATGTTTTAGTTTATTCCAAACTTATATTTTTTAGTTAAGAACTATTGATTTTTAGGCCATTTCATTTCTGTCACTGTCATTAGCAGTTGGCTTTCTTTGGGGGGCCATTTTCCACATAGAAACAATATGTGTGGGGACTAATGGGAACTCTGTGAGAAGTGGAAGACTGATGGTTAAGAGGTTGCTGCCAGTTGAATTGTGGGTTAGCTCTGTAGTCACTTGGGTATGATTTAAATTCTCAGCAAAATTTAATGTGATTAAATGTCATGGACTTTATGATATTAAACTTAAAAATTTTAAATTGCTAATAATTGAAATCTTATACTGGATAATTTATGAATGGTGTTGAAGAAATATTTTGATCTAATGTTAAACTGAAGTGATAGAAAATCATGCTTAAAAACATTTTTCGAAAATTCCTTTAATATACTTCTAAAATTATGTTCCATGCCAAAGCCCTATATGTTTTGCAAGTATCTAAAATGTATTTGATCAGTCTTCCACTTAGATCAGTAGTTATTTTCAAGAATACGATACATATTCTTATATAATCATGCAAATATTTTCAGAGCTGATGACAAAATAATGTTATGGATCAGAGTATATTTGTAGACAATAAATATTTGGTTTAGAGTTTAAACATTCACTATGTTGTTTTTGGAGGGAGCTCTGGTAGCATAGTGGCTAAGACACTTGCTTGCTAACCAGACGGCTGGGGTTCAAACCCACTAGCCACTCCTCGGAAGGAAGGTTGGGCAATCCTACTTCCGTAGTGATACTGCCTCGGAAACCCAAGGAGGGGTCACTATGAGTCGGGTTTGACTCGACGGCACATAACAACAACAACATGTTTTTGGAATCAAGAGCCTATATAAAAGCTAAAATAAAGTAGTTTTTAGTTTGGTAGCCCTAACTTTTCCTATTTATGAAAGTGATGATAATCTAAGACATAGATTGGCAAACTTTTTCAGTAAAGGGCCAGATTGATCTCTGTCACAACTACTCAACTCTGGTGTTGTAGGGTGAAAGAAGCCATACACAATATGGAAATGAATGAGCTTATCTATGTTCCAGTACAACTTTATTTATGGACATTGAAATTTAAATTTCATGTAATCTCCAGATGTCAGAAATTGTTATATATTTTGTTAGCCATTTAAAAATGTAAAACCATCCTGAACTTATAGGTCATATGAAAACAAATGATAAGAGCTATAGTTTGCTCACTGCTGATTCAGAAGATTGGAAATGCTTTCTCCTCGCCTAGTAATTAAAGGTTATCGCTGTTTATTTTTGAAGTCATATATTTATCCCTAGTGTAGGAAAGTTTAGAACAAAGGAAATATTGTGATCTCCTTCACTTCTTTTATACAAACTTTTTTTTTTTTTTTAAACATAAGCAGATCTTTTGGAAAGAAAGTTTAGGCAGATAATAAACTTTAGCTCTTTTGTGCTACCTTACTACTTTCTAGTTAAGACTTGATTCAGTTTTCCAGATTTGCCTGTGATTTACAAATTATTTTAACTCATTTCTAATTCCCGTGGAAAATATTTATATAGAAGAAAGAATCTATTTTCTTGTACATTTCTACTTTGTATATGTAAAGATAATTTGTTTGAAACTTTCATTTTTGTTACCCTATGTTTTTAAATTGTGGTTAGGCTCAAAGCAGGGAACAAAAGTGTACTTAGCACATAATGTAGGTAGGTACAGTAGCAGCCCGGAGTCACCCTTTGTCCCTTTGAATTCTTAACCTGAGGCTGCTAAAGTATGGTTCATTGGCCATATCTGATTCATTCCCTGTTTTTGCATGGCCTGAGAGCTAACAATGGGTTTTATTGATGAACATTTGCAATTGATTTGATGATGGAATGCTAACTTTGAGCCCCAATTAAGGGAAATATTAACACCCCCCTCCCCAAGTTCTGTTCTTGTTAGTTGACATGGAGTTGACTGTTACTCATGGCAACCTTATGTATAATAGGATGAAACGTTGCCCAGTCCTGTGCCATCTTCATGATCATTGTGTTCTTCTCATTAGTAGACCTGTTTTACAAAGCATTGTACTCAATTATTACTACATTTTGAATTTTGTCAAAGAATTTGTGAGAATTTGTTTTCTTTCTTGTTCCACGAGTACGTATATAATAGCCTCAGTTTTTCCTCGTTGCCTGGGACGTCTAAAAATATTTACTAAAGAAAAAAGTTTGACAATCCCTGTTTAATCTGAGACTGAAGATTTGGATGGAGGTTAAGGAGAGCTGCAGGATGAGAGGTGGGAGGTGAGTAAAGAAAGAGTTTGAGCTTTGGATGATGGCAGTATTAGAGACGGACTGAGCTCAAGGAAGCACAAGGAAGGGCAGGAGGAGGACCTTGTACCTAGCCACAGTGCTTGTGATTTTACTGAAGGTGTTTGATCAGAAGACATCAAGGGCTTGAGATGATCTTGGTGCCTGAGTGATGGCTGCGGCTCAGATATATTTGCAGGCAGTTCTTAAATTATTTGTAAGTTGTATATTTTCTGTATTTCAAGTTTGATAGAGCTTCGTTCTTAATATTCTTGTTTGTGCTTTGAAATATTTCTCTGCATAATTTAGTGAAATGAGAAGCTAGATGGAATTTGTTTTTTATCATGGTAAATTTCTATATTAAGTTCACTTTTATCACTCAGTTACTCCTTTTGTTTTCTTTCTGCTGTCTTTACATTTAGAATCTGTTACTGTAGTTGTTTTCATGCTTTGCTCCGATGAATTTGTTATTACAATGTTATCTAAAACATGAGCCTGTGGCACAACAGTTAAGCTCTCAGCTGCTAACCAAAAGGTTGAACCCACCCAGTGACTTTGCAGAAGAAATACTTGGCAATTTGCTCCCATAAAGATTAAAGTTTAGAAAACCCCATGGGGCAGTTCTACTCTGTCAGGTTGGTTGCCGTGAGTCTAAATCGACTCCACGGCAGCTAACAACAACCGAGGGTTAGTATATCATATGATCTTGTAATTGACACACTCCCTGGGAACAAAATCAATCTCTAACTGAAGTTAATATTTAAAATCAGCTGTGTTTTGTGTATGTGTGTTTGTTATGTTCATGGAATTGGAAAATATTGTTTTGAAATAAATTTTTAAACGTTATTGATTTATATAAGTATTTTGTACTTGAAATTGGAAAGTATTTGGGCTATAATGATTAACTTTTATATACATAATATTCTCTACTCAATAATGTTTCTGTTGCACCTATTTTCCAGAGAATGTCAGTTTGTTATTCAAGTTATACTGCTTGATAGTGATGACCCTGGTGGCTGCAGCTTACACCATAGCTTTAAGATACACAAGGACATCAGACAAAGAACTCTACTTTTCCACCACAGCCGTGTGCATTACAGAAGTTATAAAGTTATTGCTAAGTGTGGGAATTTTAGCTAAGTAAGTATAAATAACCTTTTAGTGTGTGAAATTATTTTTTTCCCACTTAGGTATTTTTTTTTTTTAATTAGGAAATTCAAGCTACCTCTCTTTATATGTTGATTGCTCTAGAGTAATGTTTGTTTTCTTGGGCAATTTCACCTTCCCTCATCCATAAGATATTTCTGGTTAATCATAACTGGGAGGATGCTATTGGCATCTAATGGGTAGACGCCAAGGATGTTGCTAAACATCCTATAATGCACAAGATATTATGCACAAAGAATTATCCAGTCTAAAATATCGGTAGTGTTCAGGTTAAAGAACCCTGCTTTGTAGAAGGGTTGAGAAAACTATGGGCCTTGAACCAAATCCAGCTTGGTGTCTGGTTTTGTTGCGACAAAGACCATGTGACCAAAGAGCTGAAAATATTTATTACTTGGTCCTTACAGATAAAAATTTGCTGACATTTAAGAGAGGTAAAGAATAATGATAGTTAGCACTTCTTGTGTGCTTCCTGTGTTAGGTGCTATATAATGTGCTAAGTGCTTTTCGTGAATTATCTCATTTAATCTTTGTACATTTTTGAGGTAAGTACTATAATTATCCCCATTTTATCAATACAGTGTCTGAGGTTCCTCAGGTTCGCATTGTTGATATTTGGCAGCTCTGAGCTTTGAATCAGTAACATCAGATCAGAATCTTTTTAGTTAAGGATTCAGTATAAGATCACTTTGAAGTGAGATAGACCTATTTTTATTTCTAGACTTACTGGAATTATGACTATGCATACATTTCTTAACCTCTCTAAGCCTTAGTTTCTTCTTTTGTTTTTTCATTGGAGATAATAATGTAGAGTTGTGAGAATGAAATAAAATCCTATAGGTTGGTTACTTAGCATGGTGGTTGGCACACAGTAAACCCTTACTAAATGGTTGTGGTGGTAGTGGTAGTTCTTATTGTTAGGTGCCATTGAGTCAGCTCTGACTCATACTGACCTTATGTACAACAGAACGAAACACTGCCTGGTCCTGCACCAGCCTCACAATCCTTACTATACCTGAGTCCATTGTTGTAGCCACTGTGTCAATCCATCTCTTTGAGGGCCTTCTCCTTTTTCGCTGACCCTCCACTTCACCAAGCATGATATCCTTCTCCAGGGAATGGTCCTTTCTGACACCATGACCAAAGTAGGTCAGACAAAGTCTGGCCATTCCTGCTTCCAAGGAGCATTCTGGCTGCCCTTCCTCCAGGACAGATTTGTTCATTCTTCTGTAGTCCATGGTATTTTCAATATTCTTCGCCACTACAACTCAAAAGCATCAACTCTTTTTCAGTCTTCCTTATTCATTGTCCAGCTTTCACATGCATATGAGCTATTGAAAATACCATGGCTTGGGTTAGGCATACTTTAGTCTTCAAGGAGACATCTTTGTTCTTCAGCACTTTAAAGAGGTCTTTTGCAACGGATTTGCCCAGTGCAATACGTCGTCTGATTTTTTAACTGCTGCTTCCATGGGTTTTGATTGTGGAACCAAGTAATAAGAAATTTTTGACAATATCGATCATCTCTCCATCTATTGTGGTGCTGCTTATTGGTCCAGTTGTGAGCATTTTCGTTTTCTTTATATTGAGGTATAATCCATACTGTAGACTGTAGTCTTTAATCTTCATCAGTAAGTGCTTTAAACCATGTTCACTTCCAGCAAGCAAGACTGTGTCATCTGCATATTACAGGTTGTTAATGAGTCTTCCTCCAGTCCTGATGCCTCATTCTTCTTCATATAATCCAGCTTCTTGGATTATTTGCTTAGCATACAGATAGAATAGGTATGGTGAAAGGATACAATCCTGACACATTCCCTTCCTGATTTTAAACCATGCAGTAGCCCCTTGTTCTGTTCAAATGATAGCCTCCTGGTCTGTGTACAGGTTCCTCATGAGCACAATTAAGTGTTCTAGAATTACCATTTTTCTCAATGCTGTCCATAATTTGTTATGATCCACACAGTGGAATGCTTTTGCATAGTCAGTAAGACACAAGTAAACATCTTTCTGGTATTCTTTGCTTTCAGCTAAGACCCATCTGACATCAGCAGTGATATCCCTTATTCCATGTCCACATCCCTTATTCTTCTGAATCTAGCTTGCATTTCTAGAAGTTCCCTGTCAATATATTCCTGCAACCATTTTTGAAGTACCTTCAGCAAAATTTTACTTGCATGTGATATTAATGATATTGTTTGATAATGTCCACATTCTGTACAGGATCACCTTTCTTTGGAATGGGCATAGATATGGATCTCTTCCATTCAGTTGGCTAGGTAGATGTCTTCCAAACTTCTTGGTATTGACAAGTGGGTGCCTCCAGTGAGGCATCTGTTTGTTGAAACATCTTAATGAGTATAACATCAATTCTTGGAGCCTTGTTTTTCACCAATTCCTTCAGTCCAGCTGTGACTTTTTCTTTCAATACTAATAGTTCTTGATCATAGGCCACCTCCTGAAATGTATAAATGTTGACCAGTTCTTTTTGGTACAGTGACTCTGTGTATTCCTTCCATCTTCTTTTGATGTTTCCTGTAGAATATTTTGCCCACAGAATCTTTCAATATTGCATCTTGAGGCTTGAATTTTTTCTTCAGTTCTTACATTTTGAGAAATGCCAAGTGTGTTCTTCCCTTTTGATTTTCTAACTCCAGGGCTTTGCACATTTCATTATAATATTGACTTTATCTTCTTGAGGTGCTCTTTGAAATCTTCTGTTCATCTTTTTTATCTTATCATTTCTTCATTTGCTTCAGCTACTGTCCATTCAAGAGCAAATTTCAGAGTCTCGTCTGACATCTGTTTTGTTCTTTTCTTCCTTTCCTGTAATTTTAATGACCTATTGCTTTCTTCATGTATAATATTCTTGATATTATACCACACCTCATCTGGTTTTTGGTCATTGGTATTCCATGCATGAAATCTGTTCTTCAAATGGTCTCTAAATTCAGGTGAGTATAATCAGGGTCATATTTTGGCTCTCATGGACTTGTTTTAATTGTCTTTAGCTTCAGCCTGAACTTGTGTATGAGCAATTGATGGTCTTTTCCACAGTTGGCTCTTGTTTTGGGTACAGTTACTGAGCTTCTCCATCACCTCTTTCCACAGATATAATTGCTCTGACTCTGGAGAGGTCCATGTGCATAGCCACCATTTATATTGTCAAAAAAAAGGTATTTGTAATGAATAAGTTGTTGGTCTTGCATGAGTCTGTCATGTGATCTCTGGCATCATTTCTATCATCAAGGCCATATTTTCTTTATTTCCAACTGTTGCATTGCCATCACCAGTAATAATCAATACATCTTGATTGCATGTTTGGTCAATTTCAAACTGCAGAAGTTGGTAAAAATCTTTAGTTTCCTCATCTTTGGCTTTGGTGGTTGGTGCATAAATAGTTACATCTGGTCTTCTTTCTAGGTGGATATTACTTTATCACTGACAACATTGTACTTCATGATAGATCTTGCAACATTTATTGTGACAATGAATGCCATGCCATTCCGTTTCAATTTGTCATTCCTGGCATAATAGATCATATGGTTATCTGATTCATAATGGCCAAAACGAGTCCATTTCAACTCACTAATGCCTAGGATATCCATCTTTATGTATTCCATTTCATTTTTAACAACTTCTAATTTTCCTAGATTCATACTTTGTGCATTCTGTGTTCCCATTTTTAATGGCTATTTGCCCGTTTCTTCCCATTTTGAGTCATGCCACATCAGCCAACAGAGAGGTACTGAAAGCTTTACTCCATCCATGTCATTAAAGTCAACTCCACTTTGAGGAGGCAGCTCTTCCCAGTCATATTTTGAGTGCCTTCCAACCTGAATGGTTCATCTTCCGGCACTATATCAGACAGTGTTTCAGGGCTATTCATAAAGTTTTCACTGGGCAATATTTTGAGAAGTGGATGGTCCTTTCCTTCTTCTGAGTCTGTCTTAGTCTGGAAGCTCCATTGAAACTTGTCCACCATGGGTGACCCTGCTGGCATTTGAAATACCAGTGGCATAGTCTCTAGCCTCATAGCAACATGCAAGCCACCACAGTATGACAAACTGACAGATGAGTGGTGGTGGTAGCTGTAGTATTTATATACAGATAAGGGGTTTCATTTGATCAAATTCAGTTTTTTTTTGGTTCTAAAAATGAGAACTAGATCTGGAATTGATAGTTTTCTTGTAGTATTTAGTGTCTGAAAATTATCTTTTTTCAGCAGGGAACTGACAAATACTTTCTTAATTATTAAAATGTGTGCAGGTGGGAGCTACTGGCTTTTAGATACAGCTGAAGTACTGCTTCAGGAGCTCCTAGCAGAACACCGGTAAGCACTGACTGCTGCAGAGCAACTTGCAGTGCTTGGAGCTTGCTGTCTGTAGGTTTTCAACATCTGTATTACCATGCTAGACATAAATACAGCTAATAATATGTCATATCTGATGCATGCTAGATGAGTGGTATGAAGCAACTGGAGGATGAATGAAGACTAGCCTACTTGGGGAAGGATTTATGAGATAAGGATGGGTCTAAGTCCCATGGGCAAGTGAGAATTTATAAGCTTTTAGGTTGTGTTTTAGTGAGAATGGGGAAGCAATGAGTAGATTCGTAGGTAGAAACAGAAAAATTACATTTAAACACCTTTTTTTTCCTCAATTATGATTTGGGTGAAAGTTTACAGAGCAAATTCACTTTCCATACAGCAGCTCCCATATACTTTGTCTCATGACATTGACTACAATTTCCCACAATGCAACAGCTCCCTTCCCACTTCCTCCCCATAGTTACCTCTTCCTTGTGTCCTTCCCTCCATGCACTCCTGTCCCCTGAGCCGTCTCCCTGTATATACACAGCCCTTCTATTCTTCCATGAAGGATCTCTCCAAGGAGTGTATCTACCTGATATAAATGTTCAGCTCACACATCTTTTGTTTGACTGAAAGCCACAGGGTTCAATTCCAGACCTAAAGG